TCCGACATCAGCAATGGAGTTGTCACCAGTAACCACAGGAGCCCAGACAGGTGACTTCTGATCATGGTCTTTGCTGACTTGAAGATGTATTAAAATATGCATGTCAAAACTTTATCACAAACTTACGAAACAGACAGGCCATCAAATGGAAAAGTCATTTAATTCAAAATCATACTTCCACTCATTTTATAGGGATTGTCATGTCATGTAAACCAACCAAATGTAAGAAAGCCAAGATTCAGAGGCCACTCAACAGAAATTGTATTTTCTTTATAGATATGCTTAGTGATGCAAAAGCAAATTTTTTTAAAAAAGCTTTAACATGGCAAAACTATTTCACTAATAACAGGAAAAAAGTTCTATTCTAATCACTAATTACTTTTTAATTACGGAATTGGATTGTACACACCAGTCAATATTCAATACTGAGCTGAAGTTTAAAACAGTGCATTATTTATGATTTATAAAAACATTAAAGTGCCATTTTTAAGTACTTTATTGATATTGTATCACACAGCACTTTATAATATACTCAAAGGTAGCCTAAATTATGAATTAAACATGCAGATATTTTCTTCTCTAAAATATGGACACAAATGATGTCTTTTAGAGTGCTTCTGAACACTAGCCTAGTATTAGCTCCTAAACATGTATGACTTTGATCTTTTCTCAACATGACTTTTAATAAGTTAATATGGAATACAGCTGTAGATAGTAACAATTTGATAAATATGAACAAAGTTTTAAAATGGCACTTAATTTACATCTCTGATCATTTTGATAGTCCATCAACAGCCTCTCGTGTCTTGAATTCTCAACCTTCAAATCGTAAAGGCTGTAAAGGCTCAGCTACTGCCAGCTTATGTGGGTTTCCACGAGTCTGCATCTTTACCTTTGTAAATGTGCAGGGTACATACACACAGAAACACAGACTAATACATATATACTTCAGAATCATCAGATAAACCTCTTTACACAGGTACAAGATTGACCCTGGCATCTGGACTCCCAAGGACAGGTGTCTGGACAACTTTGTGGACATGCTCCGTGTAGAATGCCGTAGAATGTCTTGACCTCTCCAGGACGGACTCCAGGTAATTCTGACATTTTGATGATCAATACTCTGGTTTTTACTACATGAAACAGAATTTCGACATAATAGTGATTGCTACCCTGACATGGGTCTAGGACTACGGTTCGCCTTTTTCTTGCTCTCTGCTCCTAGCATTCCTTTACATCCAATACGTTTTCTCCCAAGAATACATGTGTGCATCTCTAGAAGACCACATTTCAGCAAGGACTGGCTCTGAATGGTGTCTGGATGCTCTACGGGATCTCTCCCGCTGCTTCAGGAAGCTCTTTAGTTAGACAAGTAGTGTGGGTGTCAAAAGGAAAAGAGCTGATTGGGACGTGCTGGTGCATTGTCCAGGGCTGCAGAACTGTGCAAGGCTCACTGCTCTGCTCTGCCTACCTTTCAATGCCAGTTACAGAGAAGTGGCTCAGCACAGCGGATCAGTGTGCCTGCCAAACACATTTGAGCACAAGATAGATTTTTTAAACACCAGCACAAGGTGTGTGAGAGGACACCCAGTTGATTTAAAGAGATGTGGGCAGGGTTGTCTAGGTCATTGATTACTGTCAAGTTTGCCAGAGATGACAGATAACTCCCGAGATAGAATACCCAGGACACTCCTTTTAGAGGCAGGCGGCTAAGTGGCTGTCTGGTTTCCTCAGTGCTGGCTACCCACTTGGGCAATATGGTTGCTCATGACACTCATGCCAGGATGACCACTGTTGTACCTGGCAGCCCTGTGTCTGCAAAGATGGGTGGTCCAGACTTGTGTTGGGAAACAGAAGCCAGAGCACAAAAGGTTCCAAGAGACAGTCATGAACAGGTGATCAAGGTATCATCTGCTGATTATTTCTGTCTCCCTATCGCTCAATCATGGATGTTTTTGGAGTCACTGCAGTCAAGACAGAACTTTGGTGAGACTGGGGCAGCTGTTTCCAGGAGACACAAATGCAGTTGGTAGGAGGACTTCCTTTCGAGCTAGATGTGGTTCACAGGACTGAGGAGCCCTGACAGGTGCTGGACAGACCTCGCCACAGGCATGATTGACCTGCTAGCGCCAGTCTGCCAATACTCCAGCGCTTGTTCTCTCTCTCTCTCTTTGCCTATGTTAAAAAACAAACAAAACAAAACAAAACCCCCTCATCAAGAGGGGATGAACTGGAATGATGCTGAAAAAGACAGTTTGGTCAAACAGAAGAAAACACATATTGGCAGTTGAAATACTAAATCAGTAAGCTAAAGATGGGCTCCAATGATAGGAATACCAAGGAAGGGAGTGCTATACAGGGCCCACCCCTATATTTTTATCTCTGAAAAGAGAGTATCACAAGTATTGAATGAATAAGGAATTCACTTGCCAGGGGGCAGGAGTTAGAAACTAGTTATCTTCTTACGACATATTATCCTATAGATACAGACTTCTGTGAGTACCTGAGGGAGTGAGACTGATCTTAACACCCAAAAAAGATCCAGGCTCTGTATGCCAAGCAGATCCCAGGGTCTCACAAAAGAAACGAGGCCCTTGGGAAAACTCAGGGGTCCTGTCAACAGCCTTCTCTCTAATACCTAGTTCACTCCCTTAATCTGTCCTAAAGTTCCCTATTCAAGCAGAGCAAGTAAGGGATGGGGCAGAGACACTGGAAATGGTAAAATCGATATTTAGTCTCCCAAATCCTTCCTATTTGTTGGCTCATATCACAGAGTTTCTCCAGTTCTGTCGCGAATGAGGAGGTAAGCCTGGCTGGGAAAGGAAACAGAGCAGCCATCTGTCACAGGCCCAGCATGGCCACAGGGACGCTGGGATCTACCTAAAAATTCCCATTGGCAGCAGCTCCATTTCCCTCTGGCTTCAAATCAGGACCAACTGAGAAGGGAAGGACATGCTTCCCAGTGGTCAAGCTGGGGCCAAGGGTCCACAGGTATGCTTCAGCGAGGACCTCCCCAGGCCAGGGCCTGGGCTCCTGCTCCTCCACGTCAGCTCTAGTTCAGGTTCCAATGGGGCTGGCGGCAATGTAAAATGTCAAGTGTGTTAGAAGCATTATGTTGCACTCCTCCTATTTGGACAGCACGGTGGTATCTGTGCTTGTGGCCTCGGGCCCCTTGGAACAGGTCCCCAAGCTGTTCCAAATCCAGAGGGAGTCGGGGTAGCCTGTTCGCACATTCCCGTTCTTCTTGAGTTTGCAAAGATAGCTTTCCCGAGGCCTATCTGGGTCTTGTCCCGTCTTAATCCTTTCCCCTGATTCCATGGTAGTGTCTCGACTGCTGCTGGGTGAGCTCCTGGATAATAGCTGTGTAATCCTTGAGCTCATGAACTGAGCCACAATGACAAACTCCTATTTACTTGAAAACCATCTATAAAACTCTAACCACGCAACCTCCAATCCTCTTTGGAGTCCTTCCCCTGTTTGGGGTTATGGAAAATCTGAGATGAACAAGAAGGGCATACACATGTTCAGGGAAAGGAGAAGCTGCAGCATATTCAGAATTAAAGGTCCTAAGAAGCCAGTTTCCCTCAGAACTCGGACACACACAGCATTTGCAAAGTAGCTTGGCTTCATTCATCAAGTCTTGAAGATGTGCAGAAGAAGGAGTATGCAATTATCCTATATCCTTCTTTCCTGATATCCTGGGGTACCAAGAAATACACCTGAGAAGAAAAATGAAAAAAAAAAAAAAAAAATCTGAGCCCTGGCCCCAACTATTTAAATCCTGAGCTGAGTAGGAATGGGAGTTCTTGGAAAGATTCTTTGCCTGAAGATGCTCTTTCCATCTCCAAATCCAAAGCCCAAGAAATGCTCAAAAACACACCTGGATAAAGCAGACTGAACACCACCGATGCGTTATGCCCACTGAGAGCCAGCAGAGCGCATGCGGAAATGTCTCCTTCCTCGAGGCCAGACAGGGACGACCTCGCCTCTCTCCGACCTGGCTTTCTCTCATTACACACTTGTTCAGCAATCAAAGCGTACATGGGTGGAGCAACTAGCTTCAAGAATATCAAATATAAAACTTTCCCATATAGAATTTCAAATCACTCTATTTACAGGTTTACCTTTTCCATAAAATGTAAAAGATACAGTAATTCAACACAATTCAAGTTTTTCTTTTCTCCTTCAAACTTCCGTATGGAGGAATTGCAGATGCAGGAAACATGGGAGAATGGCTGTCATCCCCAGGGGTCCTGTGAGGTTGACAGTCCATCAGTCTGGAGTTTGTCGGTCCAGAGTCACTCTTGCAAAGACATTCAAGTGGGCAAGATCCCGGAGACTCTGTCCTTTGGAAGCCCAGTTCATCTGAAGTGTCCAGGCTGATCTTCCCCACCTGGGGCAGTCTTCCACAAGACCCAGCCCCTGTGGGCCAGGAAGTTCTCTTTCTCAGCAGATAACCCATCCCACCTTCCATGCCTCAAGCTTTTGGTGTCCTCCTTAATCACAATGGCTTATGCTACGAGTCTCATGCCTCCAAAGCCTGAGAAACAATTCCCTTTTCGGTCTGGCAGTGCATGTCTTTTTAAACCATAGGCCATAGAGCTAGCCTAGGAATCAGCCCTGAAAAACACCAGGGCACCAGTGCTCAGCAGCCCAGGGCACTGCCTGGGGTGGTCAGTGATGGGCTAGAGGCAGGCAAGGGCAGGGGAAAAGACAGGTAAACTGGAGGTGTCACCCATTGGGAGGCAGCATATTGTCCTCTAGAAAGCAAACACCAGTTGTAATGGAAGAACAGAAATATTAAGCCTGTATGTAATTTAATCTCAAGAGGTTACTAGAGTTTGCTCCAAATATATCTTGATGCTGCTGAAATAAATCAGAAAGGAAACAGTTCCCAGTTGCTATTCTGTCTGCCCTAAGCAGAACATGCTAATTTCTTGATCTTCTGCTCCAGGTTATTGGAAAACCATTAAAAAAAAAAAAAAAAAACTACTCAAAAAGGGGGAAGAAAAATGTCATGCAAAGAGAGTGTGTTATTATTATTATTTTTTTTGGTTTGGTTTTAGAGTAGGTTGGGTTGCCATGGTTACGAGGTGATAGCAGCCCTCAGCGAGAGAAGTTCCTAGCTTGGGAGGAGGGGAACGTAGGGTGTGTGTTCCTTTGCATGAGAGGACTGGACTGAATTCTGCTGATGCTAGGCCAAGGCTGTTTTAGAGATGGTGAGAGATTGGATCTTATGTAAACAGTGCTGTGAGCCCTCTCCGTCCTGCATGCAAACAAGCAGCCCCAGCTGCCTGCAGCACTGTGGGTCTCAAGTATTTGGAGGTGGGTTAGAGTGTCTACTGTAAACAAAAGCAATGGACCCAGCCTGGATCTCGGGCCATTGCCCAGCCCTGCATGCTCCTGAGGACCACTTAGACCTTACTTCCATTTTCAGAAGGCTGGGAATTTGGGTGACTGTTGAAACAAAAGGAGCGCTCCCATTTAGGGTGCTGCCTGAGAGAAACGGCTTTGCCAGCCTTTCTCTCAGTTTTCAAAATCAAATGGCCTCCCCTGCTGATTTACTTCTGTTTCTTGCAATGTCACCGCATGTCAGCTGAGATGATCATGGGGATGGGTGACACCAAAATTCACAGAAACACTCGTGTTGACAGGTAGCAGCAGAGTCAGTCACCCTGCACTTCTCAGTGGCAAAGAGAAATGACCTACAACACCGGACTCAGCAGTTGTCATGGATACCATGGAAAGCTCAGCAGTTCTGCTAGGGCCCATGGTTAGAGGAACTCCACGTAGTTCTCAGGGATGAGGCCAGTCTTTCCGTTCAGAGTCCCCTCCAGCCAGCCAGGCTCCTGAGACGGGTGCACTGTAACAGGAAGGGGAGAGAGAGCGAGAAGAGATGACGTTACAGACAGGGAAGGAGGTGGGTGTGCACTGAGTGCGGTGTATAGTGCGGAGGCAGTTTGAACAAGTGCAACTGCTCAGTGAGTTACATAATTCTAGGATTTGTTTAAACCAGCACTTCTGAACCTTTTGCGGGGCATATGCCTTCTGATGAAGGCCATTCTGGACTTTCTTCACAACGAAAATGGAAACAGATACAGACATTAAAAATTCTGCATACAATGTTAAGGGTTTCAGAGACTTTCTGAAGGTCCTTGTTTAAACTATAAAGGGATAGATTTCAGGTGAGAGGTCACAGTTATGGTGCTCCATCTATATATTTATCTATGCATCCATCTGTCCGTCCATCCATTCATCCATGTACCCTTCTACCTACCCAGTTTTGACTATGTACCAAGGAGTGCCCATAAAGGACTGCTAAGAACTAGCCTTTAAAGAAACTAGCTCCTAACCCTGCATTTTACCCTTACCCTCTGCTTCTAATTTCCTTGCAAATACCCTGGGTGGGCTTTTTGTTTGATTTTGTTTTTGTTTTTGCATTTTATAGTCTTTGAATAGCCTTCTGTCTGTTCTACCCATACCCTTTCTTAGCTTTCTGTCCTAGTGTCTAGAATTTTCATCCTTCCTGTACACAAGTCTGAAACTGTCTGCTTCCTCTCTCTATGGCAAACTTTCAAAAGTACTGCCCCTCTGGTTTCTCAATATCCAAAGAAGATATACCCACTCCTGTGACATTACAGTCCATCTCCATGGAAACTGCTGTGATACTGCAAAGATTATATAAAATCCTGCTGAGTCTGCAAAGTAGTCAAAATAGGAAGGAAGAAAGAAGGAACCATGGGACTTGGAGATGGGGACGTTCATGCTTGTGAACTGGGAATATACAAATCACTTGGGTGAGGCTGGGTGTTTGCTATTAATGGATTAGGAAACTTCAATTTTCTGAGATTGTTTGGAGAGAATGAATTTTCCCCTATTCCCTTCCTAGGCTAATTAAGTGACTTCCTGAGTTTGTTTTAGAAAAGCATTTCTGCCAACACTACTATATAAGTCTAGCTTCAGTCTGTAGGAAAAGGAACAAGAGCGGAAGCAAATGGGGACGCAGGACACACACTGAGGACACACACAGAAGGACACACACAGAAGATCACGGCCGACTTTGTCTAGATTGTGAATGTTTCTACAGGAAAAGACAAGGTCAAACATCTGTTAGGTGGCCTTCAAAATGCATACATAATTTCATATCACTAGGCTTTAGGAATAAACCAGAAGTAGCAAGGGTACTTTGCAGATTCAAGATCCTCACACGAGGAAGCTGGGAGAGAAGCACCTTGGAAGCAACCTGGCCTCTCCAGGGACTAACCTCTTCCATCCTGCCCCTATAAAACCAGCATCCCAATACCCCTGCCTCTACCCATCCATCCAGTGGACACTGCCAAGACCATTTCAGTTTCTGCACCTATTAACCCTCAGTGGGTTCTTGCGAGGGTTCAAGGAGCCAACATGGAGAGAACACTCAACAGAGCCAGTACACAGTACATGCTCAGTACAGGTAAGTCAATGGGGGCCTGTCACTTGGACTGGTCAGCAAGAACCTCTCCTGGTAAAAACCTGGGTAAAAGCCTGGTATCAATACCCACCTAAGCTTCGGGAAACCTCAAATGCTTAGAACCAAAAACAAAGAAATCAAACTCACTCGTCAGAGTAAAAGACCTCGAAAGAATAACCAACCAACAAAACAAAATAACAGAGCTCCTGGCCGAGTGGTTACTACACTGGAGGCACGGAGTCCATGTCTTTCCGACATTTTCCCTTTCTGGCCAGCTGTGCAAACACAGCTCAGGTGCTGAGGAGGTCATGTCTGCAGACAGTAGAAATGGAATTTGCAGAGTAAGGGAAGAATCTGAGGAGACAAAGGAGGCCCTCCAAATTGGAGAACAAGAGATATGTCACAGGGGGCTGCAGGGGACAATCCAGACTTTGGGTCCGATGGCTGACTCACTGTAGTCTTCAAATCAGGCTTTATTAAAGCATGGTACCCACCCGGATGCTTTTTAAAACTGTAGATTCCCAGGCCCCATGGCACACCAGTTCAAGCAGAATCTCGAGGACTGGGGCCCAGGGACATGCATTTTAACTCATTCACAGAAAGTTAAGGGTTATAACTTTCTGTGCCAAATGCCTTTGCAATAAGGGTGGTGCTAAAAATTGAAATGCAAATTCTCATGAACTCATAGAGGGGGAGGCAGCACCAGACCCCCACCCCAGCTTTCTGTGGTCTTTCCTTTGTTTCCTTTTCTCAGACTTCAAGGCTTAGTTGAAGCCCCACCTCCTCCATAAATATGGTCATAGAGTCCCATCTACCTGCTCCCTCCTTTCTCCACCTCCTGCAATGCTCAGAGTATCTTCCGTATACTATTCATGTCCTACTAATGCTGCTCCAATGTGTTAAGCTTTGCTTCCCTAACTAGTATTATATCAGTCAACATTTGCCATTCCTCCCCTCTGCCTGGTGAATCGAAATGAGAGAAGTTAACACCTAGAAATGGTGGCTGGGAAACAGCCATGGGCGAAAGCTTCAGACATATATTGATTCATCTGACCCTAAAGATCCTAGCTTATATGATTACCATCTCTATTTAACAGATGAGGAAATGAAGGCTCAGAGAGGTAAATCAATTTGTGCAGGGTCACAATGGTAGAACCAGAACTGGAACCCCACTTGCTTGACTCCAGAGCCCAAGCCTTTTTCTATTACAGTATGCCTCTATCCAATGAGAGCATGTGACCCTTGAGGATAAGAATGATGGTCCATATGTTGAGTACATACTAACAAGTGGAGAGAGGGTCTTATGCTAAGTGCCTGGCCTGCATCACCTACTTTCATTTTCAGGATGATGATGGAGATGGTTCTGTTATTATCCTCATTATACTGATAAGAAACTGAGGCTCAGAGAGGTTAAGCATCTTGCCCCAAATTACAGAGCTGGTAGGTAATGGAGGTGGACCTGAACCCAGGATAACTGACCCCAGAGTCTGTGGTCTTAACCACGACCACTTTGACCCAGCCCAGTGCTTTGGACCACAAAGATGCTTATAAGTACTTGTTGGGCTGAACTGCACCCATGTCCAACCTTCTGAATTGCACAGTGTCCAATGTGCTATATAAACACACAGGATGCTGCAGAGAGCTGCCCGGGCAGCTCTCCAGCCCAGCAAGCGTATAATAAATATAAGCTGCTGCTGACATGGGCGTGCTTCCTGCCAACCACTTTCTCTCAGCTCTATCCATATATACACCACACACCCCTGTATACACAAGTCATGTTCTCTCCCCTCCTTCGCTCACTGTAGACAAGGAGCAAGTGTGCAACTCAGATCTCTAATGGCTGGCTGCCCCAAGGGGAAGAAGCTCTGGCTGGAAGAGGCACAGACCCTTGTGCAGGCTGAAAGCATTTACTCGTTTAACAAGTGTTTATTAAGCACCCTCCATGTGCCAGACACAGTGCTAAGTCCTTGCACCTGGTACAGAGCAAGCAGACAAGATTCTGCTCTCAGGGAGGGACAATCTACAATAAGTAAGCATATAATTTTAGGTAGAGGTGAGGGGACTGAAAGAGACTGGGATAGGGATGTGGGTGGGTGAGGAGGAGCTCAAGCAGCCAAAACCTAAATGATCCAAAGGAGCCATCAGGATGGATGCAAGTGCAAGAGCTTGAGGATGGGGACAGGCTTGGTGTGCCTTTGAAACAGTCGGCTACAATTTTTCTTGAAGAGCCAGATAGTAAATGTGTGTCTCAATTCTGCCATTGTTGTGCCATAGATAATATGTAAACAAAGAGGCGTGGGTGGCTGTGTTCCAGTAAAGCCTTATTTACAAAAACGTGCAGTGGGCTGGATATGACTGGCAGGGCACAGTTGCCGACCCTATCTGAGAACATAAAGAAGGCCTGTGGGGCGGCAGTGTATCGAGGAGGGTGAGAGGGGACAGGTGCCAGGAGCTGGACTCTGGAGGTCCTTGTCAACAATTCTAAGAACGGGAGGCCACTGGAGTATTTTAAGCAGGAGAATAACATGATGTGATTTCCATTTTTCGAAGGTCACCCTGGCTGCCGTGTAGAGAATGGTTATGAGGGCAAGAATGGACGTGACAAGGCCAGTGAGGCAGTGGGTGGGAACACCCGGGCGAGAGGTGGAGGCAGAGGCGGCTTGGGTTTAGGAGCAGAGAGGGCTGGGGAGGCTGAAGACTCCACAGAGGAACCCCTGGACACCCCATTGCCTGGGCAGCTCGGTGGCTCTGGTGAAGACGTTCTCTATCAGCAGAGGAAACCTGGGGGCAGCCCCGCCTTGTACTCACACTGTACCCTGGACCCCGAGAATGAATGAACCTAGTCCACCTCAAATCTTTATAAAGGTATCCCAAGAACTCAATTTTAGTGAACACCATGTGAATTTTCTAGGTATTGCTAATCATGTAGCTTCAAGATGACTAATGTTCCCGAGAACACGAGTGATTTCTCTTTCCAGTTATTGTCTGAGGTGCTTGCTCATGGTGAAGTGGGCAGTTTCCTAGCACACCGGCAAGGGCTGACGCTGGAGCACTTCCGAGTGCCATGCATCCATTCCCCACTGCACAGTCCGCGCCCCTGAGCAGCGGCCATGCGCACACAGGCCCCTGGCATGCGAGGCTGGGAGATGAATCCTTATGAAACACCAGCCTTTCCCCTCTTCCTCTTTATTTGTTCTTCTCGATCCTGAAAACACACACACTCACTCTAACCCTGTCATTAGAAAACTCTCTTTGAATTGGTCTCATAATTCCATCTGACAGCTACTGAACATTCAACTTAAATAGCCCTTACCTTGTATCTCCAACAATAAACTAACGAGAGAAAAAGAAAAGAGAGCTCCCCAACTAACATGTAAATAGCTTTTCCCTCCTCTAATGCTGGATTTCTCCAACAGATTTTCTAAAAATCAGACATCATAAAATGTCATCAGCAAAACCAGTCCATATAGTAGATTAATATTTTGTCCGATCCTTCTTGGACTGCAGCTCAGTCAACATGGAAAGGGGTTTGCTTCTGAGCTTAATTGGCCTTTTGCTCTTCAGGGAATTCGAAAGGTCAAGGCAATGCTGATTCAAAACAAACTAGTGTCAATGAACTCTGCCCCAACTCCTGGTGATCACAGGAAGGCTGGAGCAATGCCTCTGACTCGTTCCACCAAACCTGTCCCCTGCTCTCATGTGTCAGGACAGGACTGATGATGATGACCCAGTTGTGGGGTGGGAGAAGCCAAAGAACCTGCCAGGCAGAGCACCCTCATGGGAGGAAAAGGAATTGGCAGTGAAAATTACCTAGGTATCTTTGCTTTACCTTTTGTGGTTAGCTACTTAAACTACTTCAAAAAGGAGACTTAAAAATAAAAGGTGGGAATGAAAAATGGTGCAACCCCTTTGTAAAACAATGTGGCAGCTCCTTAAGGAGTTAATCACAGAGTTACCATATTGTCCACTCCTAGTTATATCACCAAAACGGAAAATCTGTGTCCTCACAGAAACTTGTACATGAATATTTATAGCAGCATTACTCATAACAGCCAAAAAGTAGAAATAATCAAAGTGTCCATCAACCGATGAAGGGATTAATCAAACAAATGTGATACGTTTATACAATGAAATATTATTCGGCAATAAAAAAGAAAGAAGTTCTGACACATGATACAACATGGATGAACCTTGAAAATATGCTAAGTGAAAAAAGCCAGTTACGAAGACTGCATATTGTGTAATTCACTTACATGAATTATCCAAGCAGGCTTACTTACAGCAACAGAAAGAACATTGGTTACCTAGGCTGGATGAGGTAGGGTTAGGGATAGATGGGGCATGACTGCTAAAGTGTACAGGGTTTCTTTTTGGGGTAATGAACATATTCTGGAATTAGTGTGTAATTTTTATTGTATCTGGGTATCTCAATATAGTGGTATAAAAAATGAAATGCTGCATCCAAGAAGAGTCACCAAGCGCGTGCGCGCACACACACACACACACACACACACACACACTGATATAGCTTTTGGGAGCTTAGACCATTTCTGCCCTGCAGTCAGGGGTCCCTGGTGTTGTCAGAGTGAAGCACTGGCAGGACACAGCAGTCCCTTGCCCTGAGGGACAGTGAACTGGGGTGTGGAAGACAGACTTTAAAGTGGATTCCCTGGTAAATGGGGGGCTCTCGCCAGTCCTGCTCATCTCTAGGTAGAGACCTTCCCCCCAACAGCAGCCCACTCTGGTCTGTCTGCAGTGGAAGCTGTGTCATGTTATGGCCAGGGCTGAGACTCGGCCTCACAGGCCTGTCGGGGGGACATTGCTGATGACACGGCTCTGGACAGCCGTCAGAGGACCCACTTCATCTGCAGGTCTGTTGGGCCTGAAAGCTCCAGCTGCTCACAGGAGAGGCGGCTGGCCTGGCCGTTTGTGCACTTGGACTTGCAACGGGCCCCAATGAAGGTTTAAGGACAGTGCTTTTGGGGCTCTGAGGACCATAAAAGAGGATACAGGCTGAGCAGGCCACATGCAGTTATGGGCTCACACCTACCCCTGCTGGCTCGGGAGGTCCAGCACCAGGCACTCTGGGATCGGTTCCCCACTGTTTCTACCTATGCTTGCTCAGTACCTCTGCCATAATGACGCAGGGGCTGTGCACACTGCAGCAGACCCTTGGCATGTGGATGCCATCGAGGCTGGTCCCCAGGAGCCCCTCTAGAGTTCATATTCTCCAGTGCTATGTCAGAGTCTTGGCTGCCCTCCATTTCTGGGTCTCATGCCAGGGTGGGTTGCCTAGCCATGATGGAGAGCGCTTGGGCAAAACGTACTCACCCCTGCCCAGGAACTGTGCTCCCAATCCCTACCTGGGGTCAAGAAGGGAGCCCTGGAAAATGTCCAATTCCTGAAACCCAGCAGCTGCTTTATTTCCTCTGAGCAAAACATACCCTTTCACCCAGGGGTCAAGAAAGATTAACCCCAAAGAAGAACTTCATCTTGGGGAACTCTCACCTGTAACAGCAACTTGGGCTTTATCTCAGAATCCTGATTTCAATCTCAGGCACATAGTGAGTAATAACAAATTATGACATCAATTCTCCCTTTTAAAAAATATATTTTTTTTATAGGGAGGAAAGCAAACAAAAGAAAGAAAGAAAATAATGCATCAAGCAAGTACTAGTTCCAAATTCTACAAAGCAGGTGCCACGAATCCATCTGCTCATCAGGACACCTGAGCAGAACAGCTGGCAGGTGCTGCATGGTTTGGCTCTGGGGGAAGAGGGGGGGGGATGAGCAGGGATGCAGTGAGGCTGATTGCCCAGAGCCTGCCCAATGCCCCGCCAGCTCAGAAACCAGCTTTGCCTGCTGTGGACAGTGAATGTCATCAAACCCAAGAGGAAAGAGGCACAGAACCTATGGCCTCAGTGGCCAACCTGAGCTTCCAAACACCTGCAGAATCCCTGTTCTCTGCGCCTTTGTCTCCTATCCTCTGTCCAGCCTGATTCTCAAAGCCACTGCCAGGTGCTGAGCTGAGTCCTGTGCAGGCACACTCACTTTAATGTCCCCAACCTTGTGAGGAGATGCCTCTGTCAGCTGATGACACTGTTGTTGTTTTTTTTAATATGCTTTTATTGATTTGAGAGAGAGAGAGAGAGAGAGAGAGAGAGAGGAAAGGAGAGAGAGAGAGAAACATTGATGAGAGAACCACTGATTGGCAGCTTCCTACATGCCCCTTACTGGGGACTGAGCCTGCAATCTAGGCATGTGCCCGGACCAGGAATCCAACTGGTGACCCTTTGGTGCATGGGATAAAGCTCAACCAGCTAAGCCACACCGGCCGAGGGCAGCTGATGACACTCTTGATAGCGCCTCCCAAAGGCCCACTGCTGCTCTATAGTTTTGGGAAAAGACACACAAACACACATTCTTTCTCAGTCTTACCCATTCAACCAAGATTTTCCTTAGTCAGGAACTTTGAAAACTGTAGTTATCTGTTTGCTAGGCTGGATGAGGTAGGGTTAGGGGTGGATAGGGCATGACTGCGGGGGATGAGAACACTCACCACTATCGAAGACTGTGCCTGCGGAGAACGAGAGCTCCGAGTCGTGTTCAGCTTTGCAGGCGTACAAGGCTTTTGCCTTCCGGAACGGTGTGCTGTGTGAAAACAGGCATTTATTTAGCGGCTTTTAAAAAACCCCAGAAAGCTCCAGAGACCTCATCTCTCTTCTTCCCCTGCCCTGCAAGCCACCTAGTCCTCTGTGGTGGGAGGAATAGAACCAGGCAGCCAGGTGGCAAAACATGAGGTAGAAAGTTGCAAAGGTCACCAGAGGAAAAGAAGGAATATTCAGAGAAAAGCCATAAGCCCTGAGAAACCACATATTTTGTGGGGTCACCTTGTGCCATGTTACACCCTGACCTAGGAGTCACAACAGCTGACCAAAGGGAGGGCAGGCTGGGCCCTGTTTTTGGAGCGGAGTAGCTGGGGAGGAAGGAGGCAGGGACAGGAGAGAGCTTCCAACAGAGGCTGCTGAAAGTTGGCAATGCTTTGTGAGTCGAAAGGAGAAATTCTAGCTAGCAAAGCCAGGTTTCCACTCTGGGCCTCAGGCAGACAGCAGCTTTCCCAGATGTTACCTATTTCTCATTGGGCTGGTGGAGCAGGATTCCAGAGCTGGAACTTCCTGACCGCCAGGTAGGGCAGGGAACAGACAAGGTATGCATGTGAGCAGTCACACATGTGAACACGTGTGGGAGTGTGGGAAGAAGGGAGAGGGGACATGAAGTGTTTTAGTTTTTCGCCCTTCTCAGGTCCAACAAGTGTTGACTGTATATCAGAATCACCTGGGGAGCTTTCAAAACATGTAAACATCTGGGTTCCACCCTGACTTGCAGATATATAGGCATCAGGATTTTTTAAAAAGGTCTCCAAGTGACTCTAGTGTGCAACCAGGGTTGAGAACCACTGTTCTAGAGCTGGGGATGGCGAACTCTGTAAAGAGCCAGACAGTAAATCTTTTAGGCTTTGTGGGCCATGATCTCTGGTGTAATGACTCAACTCTGCATTGTAGCAGGAAAACAGCCACAGGCAACATGGAAATGAATTAGCGTGGCTGTGGTCCATCAAAACTTTACTCCTGCCCTGGCCGGTTTTGCTCAGCGGTTAGAGCGTCGGCCTGCGGTCCAGAGAGACCCGGGTTCGGTTCCCGCTAAGGGCACATACCTCGGTTGCAGTTTGTCCCCGGCCCTGGTTGGTCGTGCAGGTGGCAGCCACTCGATGTGTCCCTTTCATGTCGATGTTTCTCTCTCACTCTCTCCCTCCCACTCTATCTGAACAAAAAAATAGAAAAATGTCCTCGGTGAGGATAAAAAAAACCCCAAAAAACTTTACTCCAAAAAACAGGTGGTGGGCCAGATTTGACCCGCAGCCCACAGAATGCTAACCTGTGTTCCAGAGAGTACACTGTAAAAACTGGTAAGTCCTATTACCTTCCATACATTTTTGTTTTGATATCTAACTAGTTCTAAATGATCTATGAACTTCTCAATGGTCATAAGAAAAATTATAAACAGTTAAGAGTTGGCTCTTTATTTGATAAAAGCAATCTCCTTCTCCCTCCAAGCCATCTGAGGAAGCATCCATAGGGGCTCCAGGGCAGAATAATACAAGAGTAAGTAGGTGCTCTGGGTTAGACAATTACTCAAGGTATATATATATTATTATTGTATCTTCATCTGACAAACAGACAGCCTCAAGGAGCCAGTGGTGCTAAGCCTCCCATGGTGCATGGATTTCAGTGACCAAATGAGCTTTAGCTGAGGGAGGACTGGTGTCAGGTAAATCCAGACAGAACTGGAAGAGGTAGGGCTTCTTGAATCATTCTGGAATTGTTATTTCCTGGAGTCACCAAGTCCAGCTTCCCTTTGGGAAAGAAAAGTCCTGGATGGATAGAAACCTATCCCAGGACCAGGCATCTAGAACTTCTAGTCAGGGCTTCATGAAAACTGAAGATAAGAAAGCTAAAAAGGTCTATTGTGCAGAACGTTAAGAGTAAATGATTATCCAGAATTTGTTTGCCAGGGTGCAATTTACTGATGTTCTCTCTGGTCTTCTAGTAGCCAAGAGATAATAGCCAGGTGGGAGGAAATTGGGAAGCTCAGGGGAAAAAAAGGAAGTGGGTCTTCTGGGAACAATGGAAAGAAGAGCCTTCAGAATGCACCAGCTCCAGTGGGAAACAGCCAGTCCTGTATCATCATTGGAGTCAGAATAAAATTCAGAACAAGGGGCACATTCTGTGACCTATCCAAACCAAGTCTGCGTATTGGCCAGCAAGGGCCAAATAACCAACTAGCGACTTCACAGGGAGGGGGGAAAAAAAGGTTTTGGCTGTCTTTTTCTTTCTTTCTTTCTTTTTTTGAGGGAGTGGGGAGCAGAGAGGAGAATCACCTGGCTGCGAAAAGTGCTAAATCGCCAGAGCTCCATACTAACAGGTAAGTAGAGCCTGTCATGATGTGGGCAATGGAAGGAGAACCCAGTTGACATTAGCCAGGGTCCCTGTCCCTTGAGGACAGGGCAAGGGCAGGTGAGGAGAGAGTGAAGAGACTGTGTGCAGGAAAACAAAAGGGAGGGAAAGATCATCTGAGGCTCCTCTAGCTGGATTTCCATAGAGGTTACTTATTAACCTCCTTAAATAAAGGGAATGGGAGCTGATAGGGGCAAGCCAGGGAAACCAACTGGGATATCTGGCAGGAAGAAGGCAGAGGGAATGGTGCCCAAGATTATTGTTCAAGAGGAGTAATTTTCCACTAATATCAGGCTTTTGGAATTGAACAGTGAAGTGACAATGAAAGAGTACAATAAAAATAAAAACAGCTCTGGACAGTGTGGCTCAGTTGGTTGGAGCCTTGTCTCGTGCACCAAAAGGTCACTGGTTCGATCCCTGCCCCCTGTTGGGGCACATGGGGGAAGCAGCTGATCAATGTTTCTTGTATAGATATTTCTCTCTCTTTCCCGTCCTCTCTCTCTAAAAATCAATGAACGTGTCCTCAAGTGAGAATTTTTAAAAATAATAATAAAATAAATAAAAACAAAGGTCAGGAAAGGGCCTTGCTTTTCTCTCAAATTAACAAGTGACTGGCAGTCTTTGAGAGGATCTCCTCTCCTGCGACCGCCTCCCACCCACTTAAGATGGCACAAAAATGGGAGGGTGACAGAAGGGGTGCTCTTTTTTCCATTAATTAATTTATTTTTGTTATAGATGTTTCTCCTTTTTCCCCATTGACACCCTCCTCCTGATCCCATCCTCCCCTCACAGAAGGGGTGCTTTTTAAAGGGACCACCTCTGTTTCCCAGGACAAGGGCTGCCAAATAAAATACAAGGTACCTAGTCAATTTGAGTTTCACATCAATAAGGAATACTTTTTAGTCTAAGTATGTCCCAAATATTACGAGACATACCTAAACTAAAAAAAAAAAAATCTTTTGTTGTTTATCTACAACTCAAATGCAACTGCGTATTCTGTATTTTTATTTTATTTACTAAATCTGGCAACCCTCTCCAGGGAAGTATTCTCTTTCTTAAGTCTGTCACCCAGCAAGTCCAGTGTCCCATGCCATAGTCCCTCTCAAAAGGCTTGAGCAGTTTGCTTTAGGTAGGGTTCCTACCCAAACAGCTCCTGTTGGCTCAGAGGCTGTTTGTAGGCTTTGGCTCCAAATAAAAAAAATAAAAAATCCCCACCAAGCATCTTTGGTTCTTTGGCTCCCTCTTCTCCGCAGTGCCTCTGAGCACTGGATACAGAGAGCCTGGGTGCCTTTGGCGGCTCCTGTGATAGTGCCCTTCAGACCTCAGCTGGGCCTTTAAGGGCATGAACAAGTTTGAAACCCTGTGCTAGTTCATTTTCAGTGTTCGCCTCTGAGCATGGCACGAGGCCAGGAGAGCACTCAGAGGAGTTACCCTCAAATGCCCTTGCAAGCCATGCAAAATGACGACCCACTCGCCATTGTATGGCACGGCAGGGAGGTGGGGCCACATGGACTAGCAGCCTGCAATGGCTTAATTATTTAGGTACCATTTCCAGGGGCTCCTGTGCAAATGCAAGTTATGGGCTTGGGGCTGGGAGCTTTTCTGGGGGTACGAATGAAAGGAAAAGGAAATGTAAAGTACCCTTCTTTGATGGGCTGTGAAAGGCATCTTCGCTTCTGAGCTTGAGCTAATAAGCACTAAAGTTGCTTTGAAGAAGGGAGAGGAAGCCATTTCCAGAGGACACATTATGTAGAAGTTCATGAGACCATTCATTAGGTATAATTAAGTACTTATTTTTAACTGCTCTGCCTAGGAAAGGAAATCTGAAGTTCCGGTTCTGGAAGTAGACTTGGAGGAAGGCCCCACTGGACCTGAATAATAGGTGTATGCCCTACCTCTTGGCTCTAAACTGAAATAGCAGTCATGGGATTTTAGCCCTCTTTGTTGGTAAGCTCTGATGGGCTACCTCCCCAGTACTGTCCATATCTGTGCTCACCTTGGCCTACATATTTAGCTCAGTGACAGCCAATTGCAAGCCCTACTCAGCCTTGCATATTTCAAAATGGCAGCTTCCTAAAGGGTTGTGGAACAGCATCTTCAAATGGTGCTATTCTAACAGTGGCCAGAGGAGGCAGTACTGAGTAAACATGACCCCATACATAGCAGGTGAGCAAATTCTACAGCCACTGTCCTCTGCCAATCTGGAAATACTCTGGGAGAGGAATGTTGTAGGTAAAGGCAAAAATTGGGAAATATCTTGAGAGGTGGAAGGGAGTGGAGAGGTAGAGCTACTGCACAGGAAATGGCCCCAAAGCTTAGAGACACAAAAAAGTGAATACTCTCAAAGCAGAGAATATTCGGATTTTTAGCTGAATAATTCTACTATCCTGAGTCCCCTTACCCATTCTGTTAAAGGAGCCAATGTCTTGAATTGTTACTTCTTTTTGATCAAAATGAAGGAGCTGTATTCTTCTAACGACCAAGTCTCTGTTATGAGGGAGGCATTTTGGAAGGGGACTGTCCCTGACCCTGGTCACTGTGGTTTGATCTGGTTCAGGTCCTCATGGACAATCAGTGATTTAGCCAGAACAATCTATGCCATATCTAGTGTTCTAGAAAGTTAAAGTCTTCCAAAGCACCCAGCATATGTCTAAGAAATAATTAGGAAATAACGAGTGTCAGGAAAATATGATTTGAATTTTTACCTTATTCCCAGGGTGAAGATAGAAGGATATACTGAAAAGTCATCTTTCTTATATTCTGGGACAAAGCTAGATGGAAAGCCTAGAAGAGCAGGCCACGCTCTGGGGCTGAAAGTTGCATGGAAACTTGAATTTCGGGCCAGCCATACATTCGGCGGAGAAAGTGCTGGGTGAGGGCAATGAGTCTTGAATTCTGGATTGGCTCTCGTTTAGCCATGTGACTGTGTACAAGACTCTCTGTGCCTTAGTTTTCTCTCCCTGTCATAGGGTTCGGGCCATTTCTCCTCTCATTCTCATATAAACATAGAATGAAATGATAGATATAAAAGTGTGTGGAGGAGAATAAAGTAGTATACACACACACACACACACACACACACATATATATCTATATACATGTATATAAATAGCATAGGATTTTCTTTTCTTTTTTTTTAAAGTGAGACTCAGCTTTGTAAATTATTTAAGCCTCTCTGCTGGACCCGCCCCTTAGGAAAAAACAAGCTAGGAGAATAAGATGGACAAGAAAAGACGACCAAGGCCCAAAATGCTTGTGATGCTATAGTTGAGCTCTACATTTTGACTGTCTGAAGGCAAAAACTAAATTTGAGAAACACACATGCTGAGGACCTGTTCAGCAGAGGGATTGTGCAGGGTCTTAATTAATTAATTATTTCCCTGATTTAAACAGCTTCTTTTCTCCAAAGAACTCAAATGTAAAGAATTAAGTATGAATGTGATCAAAGCAGGGAAAACTATAGCATGGCCCTTGGGGAGAGGAACTAGGTCAACCCTCAGAAAGAGGTGCTGCCTGCTCCATGAGAGCTAATGGGTCATGACACATGGAGATAGAAGCAGGCTGGGAGCACTGGTGGTTCCTGGGAGTGCTTGGAGGGAAGGAGGTAGCCATGAACAATTTAAAGAGAAATCACTTCATAGCTCGATCCCTTATTCTGTGTTATATTCATCTCTCTCCCGGTGGTCTGGTCTCAGCAACTAGGTATCAGTGCTCATGGTCAGTAGCCCAACCCTACAAATAAACGTTGCTGGATGCTACCTGATAAAAACGAGAAAAGAAAAGGCCAGTGCGTATCTTAGCACCATTCCCTCTGATATCATCTAACACCAAAGCACAGAGAGCACCATGATTCGGAGTGAGCCAAACAGGAGGCACTCTTTCCCTAAACTTCAAGTATCACAGATTGTTAATTCAACTGAAGAGAGAGCAGAGGGCATGGGAAATGTCAGGCTGGTTCATGCAAATGGTCCCTCCCAGCTTTGGCTCTTAGGCTGAAATCACAGGAGGACAGAGACTGGCCACTTGCTGTCCCTGACTGGCTCTGGATAAACGGGACGGGAGCGGTCATCATCCGTGCTTTTACCTGGAGTCTTCGGGAACTGCTTCTTCTGGCCTGTCAAAAAGCAAGTGCAGGTTTGGATGGCAGGGAACAAAGTTGACGAGGAGGCTGAACACTGCATGAAGAGAGGACCAAGCCAATGAGAGAACAACAGCAGCAACAGAAAACCAAACAAACCCTGCAACAGACCTGATGGGGGATGAGTCACTGGACGTGGATGAGGTGGGCATAGGGCTGGATGGCGCCGAGAACATGGGCCAAGATGGCGAGAGGGGTGAAGTTGGGCTTGGATTCGGGGGGCTGCAAGACATAACAATCAGAAAACTCATCAGCACACAGGGAAACCACAGTGGGAGCACAGGGGGTTCACGGAAAGCCACATGATGGGGAGCTGGAGCCGACTAGAGAAGCACTGAAACCCAGATGTGTCGTCAGTGCCAGTCACAGTTCTCCAGACCAAACCTCCATGTCTTCCAGCTAACGTCTGTTCTATAAGTCCTCGGAACATCAACGTGTCTCCTTGCCCTGCAGAGTAACTGCTTTCTAGATGACAGGAGCTTCACCTGTTGTGTCCACTGTGCCTTTGGCCTCGGTGATAAGTGCTCTGAATGCACATGTGTGGGTTCCCATACCCATTCGCTATCACAGGCCTCCGTCTGGGCCAGTGCTAGCTTATATCCAGCCTTCAGCTTCCACTACTATGTGTTTTTAAAGTCGTGTCTCGGCAAAAGTGACCATTTTTTTTCTGGGCCACACAGGCTATTCAGCCAGAAAACAATTTCCTGTTTACATTTTTAACTAAATGGGCTGTCTGCCATGGGAGACTCGGAGAAGTACTGCATTAGAAAAATGGCCGTGGATGGAGGGTAGGTCTGGAAAGGACACACACCTCTCGTGAGAGGGCCTGCAGGTATGGGCAGCGTGCTGTTCCTCTGAGCTTTGCTTTCCAGGTCTGCTCTTTCTCTTTTAATAGATTCTGGGCATTCTGCTGCTCAAAGAAAAACCCCAGAAAGGAGGCAGTAAAAAAAAGGAGAAATGAAAACCTTAAATCTGTCATTTTGTTCTTTGATAGGTGACTGATCACAAGTATGGATGGGAAAGGTTGAAATTACTCACTAAAATGTGGTTTCATTTTAATTGGTCATGCTAGCCCTTTGACTTCTTTCCACAAATTACACAAACAAACAAACAAACAAACAAACATCTTAGCAACTCTGTAAAATCACATTAAGTCACAGATAGCGCAAACACTAATGACTGAGAAAACAATGTGGGAACCACCTGGCCACACCACCAGCTGCAGCCCCTGAACCTCAGCCAATGGCTGGACTGTTTGATTCAAGCACTTTGCAGACGTGAAAATGACAGTGATCCCATCCAGGGGAACAGACTTTCTAAACACAGTGGGAATTAGCAAGAACACATAAATGTTCTACTTAATGGGATATACTCAATTCAAATGAGATCCAGTTATGGCCCTAATCACCAATAGTTGCAATATAAATTCCTATGGCAATATACAGTAAAAACCCATTGTGTGAGTTCATTAGATAGCCTCAGACTAATTGAGTGAAACATTTATTAAGTGCCATTACGTGTATTACATTTCTAAAATATAAATTCCATGAGGCGGGGATTTTTGTCCATTTTGTTTACAACTATATTTCCAAAGCCTAAAATAGTGCCTGTAGGTATTCAATAAATAATTACTGAGGAAGTGAATTAATGAGTCTTGTTTAACCCACCCAACATTCACAAAAGACACTATTATAATTCTCACTTCACAGATGTGGAAACTTGGGCCAGTTTGAGGCTTGCCTGAAGATGCTCAGCTTGTCAGTGATAAGACGGTGGTTCAGATCCCAAGCCCCTGTCTCCAGGCCTCCAGTGTAGGACTCACCCTGTTCCTCTCTGCTCTGACAAGTGTCTTCATAGACCCATCCATAGAATTAGAAGCTTTCGGAACCACTGATTTATGACTTTCCTTTAGATGCCTACTACATTTGCAAGGGAAATTGGGAATGCATCAACAGACTCAAGAAGACTCAACACATTATAAATTCCAACAAAATCCCAACCCTCCAGTCTTCTGTCTGGTAGATTTATCCAGCAGATAAATTCAAAGAGTATGGCCTTTACCCTGTTTTTCTCCCATGAATCCAGCAAAGACTAGTTATAGAGTACCTAGCATGATCAAGACAATAAGTGGAATACAACTTAGCATTTTTCAAGGTTCCTAACTCCAAGAGTTTACAATGTATTTGACAAGATGGCACAGACTTAAAAGCACCTGTAGATGCTAAAATCCTTAACAAAATATTAGCAAACCGGATCCAGCAATATATTAAAAAGGTCATATACCATAATCAAGTGAGACTTATTTCTGGGTGCAAGGTTGGTATGATATCTGCAAATCAATAAACGTGATACACCACATAAACAAAATGAAGGATAAAAGCCATGTGATCATGCAGAAAAAGCATTTGATAACATCTAGCACCTATCTGTGATAAAAACTCTCAGCAAAGTGGGAATAGAGGGAACATACCTCAACCTAATAAAGGGCATATATTACAAACCAACAGCCAGCGTCATACTCAATGGGCAAAAACTACAGTATTTCCCTTAAGACTGGGAACAAGACAGGGATGTCTGCTTTCACCACTCTTATGCAACATAGTAGTGGAAGTCCTAGCCACAGCAATCAGACAAAAAGAAAAAGTAAAAGGCATCTAAAATGGAAAGGAAAAAGTAAAACTGTCATTATTTAGGTGACATGATACTCTATATAGAGAATCCTAAAGATTCCACCAAAAAACTACTAGAACTGATAAATGAGTTCGGTAAAGAAGCAAGATACAAAATAAATATCCAGAAATCAGTCGCATTTTTTTTACACCAATAATAAACTATCAGAAAGGGAAACTAAGAAAACAATCGCATTTACAATTGCATTAAGAAATACCTAGGAATAAATATAACCAAGAATGTAAAAGACCTGTACTTGGAAAATTATATGATATTGAAAAAAGAAATGGAAGAAGATACAAGTAAGTGGAAGCATATACCGTGTTCATGCTTAGGATAGGAAGAATTTAAATAAAATGTCCATATTACTCAGAGCAATCTATCAATTCAATGCAATTCCTATCAAGATACCAATGGTGTATTTCACAGAACTAGAACAAATATTACAAAAATTTATATGGAGTTTTTCCAAATTTATATGGAGTCACAAAAGACCCCAAATAGCTACAGCAATCTTGAAAAAGGAGAACAAAGTTGAGGAATCACACTACCTGGTATCAAACTATACTACAAGGTCATAGTAATCAAAACAGCACAGTACCACCATAAAAACAGACATATATCAATAGAACAGAATAAAGAGTCTAGAAATAAACCTACGCCTTTATGGTCAATTAACATTTGGCAAAAGAGGCAAAAACACACAACGGAGTAAATAAAGATAGTCTATTCAACAAATGGTGTTGGGAAAACTGGAGAGATGTATACAAAAAATGAAACCACATCACCTTCACAGACCATACACAAGAATAAACTCAAAAATAATTAACGTCTTAAATGTTAGACTCAAAACCATAAAAGTCCTAGAAGAAAATATAGGCAGTAAAATCTCGGACATTTTTTGTAGCAATATTTTTTCTGATATATCTCCTCAGGCAAGGGAAACAAAAGAAAAAATAAATAAGATTACATCAAACTAAAATGTTTTTACACAGTAAAAGGAAACCATCAACAAAATGAAAAGACAACCCACTGAATGGGAGGACATATCTGCCAATGATACATCTGATAAGGATTAATATCCAAAATTTATAAAAAACTTAGACAACTCAACACCAAAAAAAACACCACAATTAAAAAATAGGCAAAGGAGCCCTGGCCAGTTAGGCTCAGCGGTTGAGCGTCGGCCTACGGACCAGAGAGTCCCATGTTTGGTTCCGGCTAGGGGCATGTACCACACACAAAAAAAGGGCAAAGGACCTGAATACGCACTTCTCCAAAGAGGACATACACATGGCCAATAGACATATGAAAAGGCACTCAACTTGTCACTAATCACCAGAGAAATGCTAATCAAACCACAATGAGATATTGGCTCACACCCCTTAGAAGGGCTCTATCATCAATAAATCAACAAACAAGTGTTGGCGAGGACTAGAGAAAATAGAACCCTGTGCATTGTTGGTGGGAATGCAGATTAGGGCAGGCTCTATGAAAAACAGTATGGAGTTTCCTCAAAAAATTAAAAATCAAACTGCCTTATGACCCAGCAATTCCACTTCTGGGAATATATCAAAAGAAGCCTGAAACACTAATTCAAAAGAATATATGCACCTCTGTGTTTACTGCACCATTATTTTCTTTTCTAAACATGTTTTTATTGATTTTTTTAGAGAGAGAGGAAGGGAGAGAGAGATAGAAACATCGATGTGAGAGAGAAACATCTATCGGCTGCCTACTGGGGATCAAGCCCACAACCTGGGCATATGCTCTGACAGGGAATTGAACCGGGACCTCTGTCTATGGGATGATGCTCAGTCCACTGAGACACAATGGCCAGGCTGCATGGTTATTTTCAATAGCCAGGATTTGAAAGTAGCCCCAGTGTTCATCAGTAGATGAGTGGATAAAAAGGCTGTGGTGCATTTACACAATGCAATACTACTAGGCTGTAAAAAAAGGAAGGAAATCTTACCCTTTGCAACAGCATGGATGGACCTGGAGAGCATTATGCTAAGTGAAATAAACCAGTCAGAGAAAGACAAGTACCATATGATTTCACTCATATATGAAATCTAATGAACAAAATAAACTAACAAACAAAACAGAAACAGATTCATAGATAGAGAACAGACTGACAGCTGTCAGAAGGGAGGGGCTTGGGGGGCTGGGTGAAAAAGATGAAGGGATTAATCAAAAACAAACAAAAAACCAACTCATAGAGATACAGACAACAGCATGGTGATTACCAGAGGGAAAAGGGGGTGGGGGGTGGGGTAGAAGAGGGATGGGGGTATAAATGATGACTGAAGGAAACTTGACTTGGGGTGGTGAACACACAATATATACAATATGCAGATAATGTACTACAGAACTACACCTGAAACCTATATAATTTTATTAACAACTGTCACCCCAATATATGCAATTAAAAAAAATAAAACCATCTCTTTTTTAGAAAACAAACAGAAAAGGCCAACTGTAAAATAAGATAGTAAGATTCATCAGCTGAGGGATAATTAATTCAATACATGCTCCCACTTGACTTTGTC